GGCCAGGGCTGCGCGGCCCCGCGGCCCCCGCGCCGCCCGAGCGGGCTGTAGCGGGGCGGGGGGCGGAGGGAGAAGGGGGGCGATGCCCCACGCCGAGCCCAGCCCGCCGCTGTGCTGAGCCGGCGGGGCTGGCCGGAGGCTGGAGAGCGGGACATGGTGCTGGAGCCCCCCGTGACGCTCCCCGGGTGGCCAAGGGGCGGCTGGTGAGGAGCTGGAGAGCGGCGGCGGAGCGAGGCCACGGTGAGGGAGCCCCGAGGATCCGGCTGGGGAGCCATGGGGAGATGCAACGGGCGATGCACGCTGGTGGGATTCTGCTGCCTGCAGCTGGTAAGGCTCATCGGCATGCCGGGCGTGCTTTGTGCGAGATGCTGCCTGTCACCGCTCCCCACGCCGCCTCGGCGGTGACCTTGTGTTGGGACCAGCTCGGGTATGCCTCACCATCATCCAGAAAAAACCCACAGCAAAGAAAAAATGCTGATCTAAAAGATAGGCAGTGCCACCCTCATCTCCTGCCTCAAGCCAGCGCTGGCCGGGGAGGTGGATGGGGATCCCTTCCTTGCACTGTCAGTGCCCGAGGTTGCGTCTCCAGCAGGTGTGAGCTTTGTTCCCAACTGCAATCTCTTCCCTCCGAGTTCACTCCCGCCCGCGGTTTCCCATTCTGGTGACTCCACGGATGCGTCTCGGGGTGCTGGTCCCCTGAGTCGGGGCGAGAGGGAAACTTGGAGCCGCTGGCAGCACTTTGGAAACTCTGCTAATCCTGAGCGGGACCCACCTGCCCGCGGTGGGGGGCACCGGGCTGTGGCGGCAAGGAGAAAGGAGAGGGTTGATTTTCACGGGATTGTGGGGCTTCAGTTGTAGGGTTTCGTGACAATTCGGTGCCGCGCTTGCCGCCGCCCGCGAATCAATCTTCATCAGGCTCTGCCCGAGGAGCCGGCGAAGGGAGCGCGGGGGGGATCCGGGGGGTTTCTGCTCAAACCAGAGGCGGCGAGGTTGCGATTAATTATCCCGGCAGGGTGGTGCGTTAATGGAGAATCAGCAGCCTCCAACTTGCCCCCGCGGCCGTGCCGGGCTCGTCACGGCGAGGAGAGCAGGGAGGGACTGCTGAAATCTGTGGGGTCAGCTCGTGGTGTCCCCGGGGACGGGGGGTGATGGATGGATGAACGCGGCGATGGAAACGGGCTCCAGAGCCCTCTGGAGATGATGGTGGCATCCTGCTGACAGGCACTTTCTTCCCGGCTCTTGCTCATTCTTCATCCTCCAGAAGGCAGCGGGTGGGGAGGGGTCCCCGCTTGTGGATGGGGGTACACGAGGTGTTGCTGGGGGGATGGGGAAGCTTTGAAGCTGGTGCTCAGCCCTGGGCAGCAGAGGTGCAGTGGGATCATCCCCAGCCTGGAGTCCCCCATTCTCAGCAGCAATGGCCTCCGTGTCCCCAGCTGTCCCCTTGCTTTAGGCTGCGAAGTCTCACTTGGTGTTTCACTCACCTGATCCAGGATAAATCCAGCGGGGCTTTTCCAGGTGTGCAGGAGTTTCCTGGCTTTTGGTCACATTCCTTTTCACCACTCAGCTCTCAGGCAGGTTTGGTGGTGATTATTCCCCAAGATCTCCCAAATCCGAGAGGTTTTAATCTGTTAATTTCGGGGGAAGGGTGAATAGGTGTGAGCTCCTGGGCTGGGAGAGCAGCTCCTGCTCACACCCAGAGGAACTTTGTGCTGCTAGTTGGGGTCCCCTCCACCTTCCCCCCATGTATCCTGGTGCTGTTGGCATCCCCAAAGGCTCCAATCCTTTACCAGGAACCTTTCCTTTCCCACTCCAGGCTCATCCTGAACCAGCTCATCCTTTGGGATGCTCTCCAAAGCTCCTTCCTGGTTTTGGAAGCAGCAGCTTCCACCCTACCATGGGGAGATGCCCCCAACGCTCAGCTCCTCACCCCGGGTTGTAGGGTGTGGGTGCCCACCCATAGTCCTGTGCTGAGCCAGCCCCAGGAGACTGGAGATGCCAGTGCCACCCAGGCATCCCCTGGGGTGACCAAGGCCACCCTGAGGTGACACAGCACCTCGACCAGGTAGAGCTGAGGTTTGGGATGGAGCCTCAGGGAGTGGGGATGATCCCTGACCCCATCCCTGCTCCCCTCCTCTGCTCCACTCCTGACATGGGATGGCATGGTAGGCTCATGTCCCACCCCCAGCTGGCGCTGGCATCTGTCCTGGGCCCTCTGCTCTGTGGGTGGGGACAGCTGTGCTCCTAGAGTGCCCAGTCACGGGGCTGGGGTCACACTGCTGTGAGTGGGGCTGCCCTGGGGCTGCAGGGCCAGCTCGTGCCATGAGTGGGGCTGCCCAGGGAGGGCACAGCTCAGCTGAGCCCCCCTGGCCAGCCTGGGCCCTGGTGTCCCTTGAACAGCAGCATGGTGACATCCTGAGGTGATGCCACCATTTCTGGCTGGTCCTCCCCACCAAGCCCAGGTACCTTCCCTTGGCTCCCTGTGTGCCACTGTCACCTCCTGGGCACCTTCCCATGGCTCCCTGTGTGCCACTGTCACCTCCTGGGCACCTTTCACACCCCAGCTTGTTTCCCAGTGTTCATGACCTGCTCCCTCGCCCCCCTGGTCCCAGGGATGATCTGGATGCCCCCAGGTGCAGCTGGCACCCACTGGGCACAAGGTCCCTGATGCAGAGGGGCCCTGCTGAGCCCTGCCCGCTCCAGCCCACACCTGAACCACTTTGGGAACCTGCTTTTTGGGCTGTGACACCACAGGAGCTGCTTTGGAGCATTCAAACATCCCCAAGCTCCTTCACCCCTGGCCAGGCCGTGCTGCGAGTGCTGGCTGACCCCAGTCCTGGGGACATGCAGCACGTGCCAGATTTTGCCTCCATTTATGGCTTTTCCCTGAAAAAAATCCTCTTGCCAAACCCCCACCGGCAGTGCCCTCCTCGGGAGGGGCCACCAGCAGACACTCAGGATAGTGAGGTGGGATAAAACCAAAACTCCAGGGTTTTGCTGGTTTTCCCACCAGCTGGGAGACACCAACGCCTCTGTACCCCCCTGTTGTGGGATTCACCCTCTCTTTATGGGAAATGGGAATGCTGAGGGGGCTGGATGGGGCAGGGACCGAGCTGGCGCTGCCCTGCTCAAGCATGGGGGCGCGGGAGCCACAGAATTTGTTACCTCTGCAGCCTGGAGGTGTGGGGACAGCTGTGCTGCTGCCCAGGGCTGGAACGGCCCTCGTGACAGTGACATGGGACATTGGGATATCGGGATAGCTGGATATCGGGATATTGGAACATCGAGATATCGGGATATTGAGATATTGGGACATCGAGATATCAGGATATTGGGACATTGGGACATTGGGATATCGGGATATCAGGATATTGGGACATTGGGATATTGGGACATCGGGATATCAGGACATCGGGATATTGGGACATTGGGATATCAGGATTATCAAGACATCAGGATATTGGGACATTGGGATATCAGGATATCAGGATACTGGAATAGCAAGATATTGGGATATCAGGATATTGGGATATCGGGACATCAGGACATGCACTGCTGGCAGCTGTCAGGCCGGATCTGTCCAGCTGCTGTCACATGTCCCTTGGCCACCCCGCTCTGTGCCCCGCGGCCGCGCTCAGGCGCTGGTGCAGGATGGTTTTCCTCGAGCTGGCTCCTTCTCCATCCCGGACTGGGGATGCCACTGCCCCCTCCGTGCGGCCGCTCAGCCCCCGGCTGGATGGGGACAGGGACGCTCCGTGCCCCACCTCCGCCTGGCAGAGCCGGCAGCCGCTTCCAACCGGGCTCTCGTTTCCTTCTTTGTTTCTCTCCTTCTCCTTTAATTGGCTGGAAAAGCAGAGCTGGGTTGGCACCTCCCGCCTGCCGGAGCCTGCCAGGGGTGCGGTGCGGGGCCGTGCGGGGCCGTGCGGTGACATGCGGTGACATGCCATGCCATGCAGTGCCACGGCAGCGCGGCGCTGGCATCCCCGGTCCCTGCGGGGCTGGGGCGCAGGAGAGGGGCCGCGGGTCCATCCCATCTTCTCCCCGAGCTGCGGGGTTTGGCAGGGACCGGGAGCCGCTGGGATGTGATCCCCGGCTCCAAGGCTGGAGAAGGATCAGGAGTTCGGCTTATGGAGGGATGGGTGAAGGGCGAGGTTGATCCTTCATCCCCAGCCCTGAGTGTCACCCCTGCGCGACAGCGGGTCCCTCTGCACCCCTGGGGGCTCCGTGGCCCTCCCGTCCCTCCTTCCTGCTCTGATTTCCCTGGTTGGGCCGCGGTCGGTGGGAACCACCCTCCTCCCGCATCTGCCGGCATCTTTTGTCCTCGCAGGGCTCGGGGCGCTCGGCGCGGGGATGGCCCGGGCACCGCGGGGCTGGGGCTGCCCCGGCCGCATCCCCCCGCCCGGGAAGGGGGAAAGGAGCCCGGGCTGAACTCGGCATGGAGGTTTTCAATTACACAATTAAATGCACAATTAGGTGTAATTACCAGCGCTCAGAAGGTGCGACTGTTCATAATGGGCTTGTAATCTACTGCCGCCACTGTTTGTACTGCTCCGCTCCGCTCCCTAATGATTATGGAAAGCTTTCCCATTTGCATGGTTGCCATGGAAATGGGGGGCTGGCAGGAGCGCGGGGATGGCGAGGGGAGCCCCTCACTTCCCCGAGCCCCCTCGTTCCCCCACGTCCCCTCTCGGTGGGGTGGGGGTGATGGGGGTGCTGATACCCGCGGCTCTGTGGGGTCACGGGGGCCGGCACGGAGCGATGAGGATCTTCCAGGGATCCAGAGGATCCAGAGCCGGCCCCAAGGTGGGAAATGCGTTTTAAAAGCCTGAAAAACCCCACCCAGCCCGTCACCTCCCCGGGTGAGCGCTCCGGGAGCCCCGCGGGGACCGAGGCTGTGGGTGGCCGCACAGAGGCATCAGCCAGCCCAGACCTCCGTGTGGGTGAGCATCCTCCGGCACATCCACGTTCCAGGCAGGGCTGGATAGGTTTATTGACGTGTGTTTGGGAAGGCAGAGTCTCACAGCTCGCAATTAAAACCGCGATTAAAGTGCCGTACGTCTAAATTTGCAGGACCAGCTAATGTGCACCCAAGAGGATTAACGAGGCCGCCTGAAGAACTCCCTAAATCATTCATGGCGGTTTTTAACAGAGCTGGGAGCGAGGGGGACTGGAAAATAAATGTCTCAGAGAGCTGGGTTGTAGAGAAAATAAAGAGGATGAGGCTGAAACCAGCCTGGCCCGGCTGTGGAACTTTCAGAGCCCGGGAAGGAAAGGTTGATGTGAGCAGAAAAGCCTAAAGCAGATGGGCTCATGGAGAGCTGGGAAATGTG